TGAAATTTTCTCTTGATTAACGATAACATTCCAACATGATTATTATTTTTATCCTTAACAATAATATTGGAGTGAGTGCTGCTCTTAGCACCCAAACTAGTTGATTCTACATAGTAAACGTAATGTGCTAATGATATCTATAGGAACCCATGAGTTCCAATAGTGAAAGTCTTTGGAATGACACCTCCCAGTCATTTCCACTCTCAACTTTTCCAGGCACCAGATGGAGAAAGACCCTGCCACCATCAACTGGTTTTAGAGAATGATCGGTATTGGAAGGCTTCTCTGGAGAAGGCCTTAATAGGAAGAAGAAATATAATCAAAAACCAAGTCTCTTGTTAACCTCAGACACGTGCTTGTAAAAGTAGGAGGGGGTAATTTACATTTAGTTGCATAATACCAATGATGTATTTGCTATCTTAGTAGGTCTTCAGTGTGAACACAATAGAGACAAATGTAGAAAAACTTAGTTGATAAATCTCAATGATATCAGCCTGAATTTGTAGTGGTTGCATTCTCAGAAATTCTAAATATAAGTACATTCCGACTTCCTCATTATTTCCAGTATAGTCACACTGAGAATTTGCATATTGGAATAAATTATTAGATTTCCCTTTTACTATTCCATATTACATTAGAGGGCATTCCAGTTTTTAAAGTTATGTGTGAAGATAGATTCTCTATATCATCTATGAATTTCATTTTAGAACACTAGTAGGGATGCTGCAAATTATTTGTTACAGAAAGGAAACCATGTGTGCTAGGGTTGAGAACCCTGGCTTGAAAGGTTTCAAGCCCTTTCCCATCTCAGGACCTTTGCATTTGCTATTGCTGTCTCCACCTAGGATGTTCTTCTCTCGCTCTCTTATATATACGCCCAACTCCTAAACTTTCAGGTCTCACTTGGCTAAAACATCAACAGGCTGCATAGAAGAGTCCCCTCTTCTATGCTCATATAGCATCCTGAATTTATTCATAGCACTTACAACAACTGATGTTAAACTATTCATGTATTTTTTGTTTAATATCTGTCTCTATGGTAGGCACACGAAAGGCAGGAAATGTATGCCCTGTTTACCACTATTTCCTTAATACCCAGCACCATGTTGGACATGTAGTAGATGCTCAGTAAGCGGTGGTTAAATGAATGAGTGCAGATCTAGAAAGATTAAGTTGTGAGATCAAACAGCCAAAATGACATAGCTAATAAGTGGCAAAGCTAGCATTCTAACCCACAAATGTTTGATGCCTCAAACCCCATGCTTTCTACCCATCATGCCGCTTCCAGGTAAAGCAGCATCACAAATGGTTTCTCTCCTAAGATATCAGGAGTAAAAGAAGATTGAATGGCCTTGTTCCAGGTTTCTCCCCTATCTCCTCCCCCTCCCCCACCCCACCAAGGCTGAGATACTAGAATAGGAGTATAACTTCTATAGGTATATCCCAAATTGCCAGATGCATGACCAGTTTCCTTGTAGGTAATGTCCCTATTTGGACTCCTATATAGTCTCAGTACATGCTACAATCTTGAAACAATCATCAAGTGTCCAAATGAGTAACCATAGGAAATGTTTTGATCACATTCATATTTACCCAACAGATCACCTGGCTTCATCTCCAGGGAGGTCATCTGCCAGGTAATGGATGCCCGCAGCTATCCAAATACAGCAGAACAGAGTTCACAAGGAGCTTGCAAGTTGCACAACCACAGCCCACTGTGACACTCTGATAGGCTCAGCTGTTCACATTTTTTAAAATATATCTTATTTCAGAGAGGAAGAAAGAGGGAGAGAGAGATAGAAACATCAATGATGAGAGAGAGTCATAATTGAATGCCCCCCACTGGGGATCGAGCCTGTAACCCAGTACGTGCCCTGACTGGGAATCGAACCATGATTTCCTGGTTCATAGGTCAATGCTCAACCACTGAGCCATGCTGGCTGGGCTAGTCACATGTTTTGAAATGTAGTTATTAGAAGACAACAGCATTCTCCAGATGCTGCACAGTTCTGACTTCTCATCTGTGACACACCCACTAAGCAATGATTCAAAGGTAGCAAGAGGGCAGAATGGAGCAAGCACAGATACTCTGGAATCACACAGATCTAGATTCAAATCTGGATCCCCTATTGTTCAGGTACATGACCATGGACAATTGACAATCAGTTGAGGCTCAGTTTCCTCACCTAAAAATGGAGCAAATATTGATCTCATTAGACTTTTATGATCATTAATAATGTGCTAAGCAACCGGTAGTGTATCAAATAGTTGCTTGATAAATGCTAGCACCCTTTTTTATCAAAGGCCACGTGATGTCTTCCTCTAAATTCAGTTCGCATTTATCTTCTCCCAGCTCATACGTTCAGAAATGCTTCATATCCTCTAGCCAAACCACAATATTGGCAGATACATTTGGTGCCTAAAAGGGAAAGCCACGATTATAGTATTATCTCACACACTGCCAAGACAAAAGTCTTGCATAAACTCTGTGCTCAGTAAATGTTTGCTGATTTATTTTTCAAAATAAACCAGATATGAATCCCAGCTGTTATGGATATACAACTTAAACATGAAAATCTTTAAATGGATGATTCCTCTTATACATTATTTTTGGGGTTGTTGGCCTATAAAACCCCAACCTTAAACCCCAAACCACACCCCTCAGTTGGTGATCCAATAAAATCACCTTCCCTCAGGCTTAAACGGTATCTCACTTTCTGTGTTACTCTCATCCTCCATGTATTTGTGAAATTCAGGATTTTGCTTGTCTACTGTACCCTTTAGGAGCATACATATCTACTAGTGGCCCAGTGCACAGGTGCATGCACATTCTCCGTGCGTCACTAAGAACCGCCACTGCCAAGTGACTACAGCTCAGCAGTAAACCAGATTTGGGGCGACAGTGCCCCAGCAACAACATAACCCATAGCCAAAGGTGGAATCGTGCTGCCCCTCGAGGAATCCGACTCCCTCCTCTCTGGTTCCAGGGTGCGTCACTGCCAAGTCACTGCAACTCAGCAGCTCCTGTGTTGAGTGTCTGCCCCTGGTTGTCAGTGTGTGTTATATGTACTGGCCAGTCAGCTGGTCGGCTGGTCACTTAGCCTTTTATACATATGTAGATGTGTAGGTAAGAAAATTACATCATGGAAATTCCTATTTCAAGGGTTGCCTGGGCCACTGAGAGCTCCTGGGTGATTTCCCCTGGTCTAAGCATTCAAAGGCTCCTATAGAGCAAGAAACACAGCCTGGCAAGAACAAAGATAGGACTTCCAAAAAGAACACAGACAACTTGGGATTTGCTGAGATTGACTCAGGTGCTGGCTCTGAGCTCCCTGAGTCACAGCTGGCCCATCACCAACACCATGAGCTGCTGACAGAGGTGGCCACCCTCCTGGCTGCCAGATCTCTGGTGTCCTGCGAGGAAACTACGCCTGTCTCCATATCTGCTGATTCAGTGCCCTTGCACAGGAAAAGCCCTCAGAAAGAAGAATCAGATTCGGGTCTCAGTCAACACAACAATGATCTAGTGCAGTGATGGCGAACCTATGACACGCGTGTCAGAGGTGACACGCGAACTCATTTTTTTGGTTGGTTTTTCTTTGTTAAATGGCATTTAAATATATAAAATAAATATCAGAAATATAAATCTTTGTTTTACTATGGTTGCAAATATCAAAAAATTTCTATATGTGACGCGGCACCAGGGTTAAGTTAGGGTTTTTCAAAATGCTGACACGCCGAGCTCAAAAGGTTCGCCATCACTGATCTAGTGAGTACCTATGATGTGCAAAGCAATTCAGACCTGATCCCTATGCCCAGAAATCCAGTGGTTCACCAATACCTGATGGGTGCTAAAATCGGGGGTGGGGGAGATCAGGGGGCAGAGGAAACAGTCAGGACATCAGAGATTCAGAGAAGGAGATATTTGTGGTCTGGGGTGATCAAGCCAACTTCACCCATGAGGTGGGTTAGGCTGAGCCTTGAACTCAGAGTAGGAGGTACAGAAGACAGAAAACTTCCAAAGGAGGAACAATGGGCACAGAAGTGCAAACGCAGAAATGCACTTGGCCTGTTGGCATGGAGCAAGAATGGATGTGAAATAGTATCTTTGTAATCTGCAGTTCACATCCCAGATTTTATAAAAAGACTATCCTACCCATCTCACAAAAAGCAACATGACTCACAGAGCAGAGAGGCAAGTAGTTTTTGCCCAGAACTACACTCTATAAATTGTGTCTTAGAAAATGCTTTTACTAGTTGCCTCTCTTCCCATCACTCTCTTTGTAGTTCATATCTAGCCCAATTCCCCACATCTCTTTGATCTTATTATACAATACTGTTAAGACCTGTAAAGGGTAGAAGAAAGGGCTAAGGAGAAGCTCTATTTTAAAGAAACTTTAGTAGGACATATAAAACATTGGCCTATTAAATAAGTAAATAAAATACTGCCTCATATTATAGAAAGATAAACCACAAACAGGATTTATGGGAAGTTTAAAGCTGCCATGTTCTGCATAGGCTTATGTGAACTATCTGACCATTTGCCTCATGACTCCTTCAGGGCTGCCACTGACTGCTGCCCACTGTGAGTCCTGCACAAAAGCAGCACCAGACCCAGGAAGCCAGCTCTCCGCTTGCCATGATTTATATGCGATGCCATTTAGGTCCAGAGGGGGCACTATTTTCTGATTCTTCTACCTGGAAAGGGCTTCTTTTCTTAATTCCTCCCTCTAGAGGGGGACATCATTCTCTCATTCACACGAAAGCCTCTTAAGAGGTGGGTTGGGGATTCTGGTCCTCTTTTTTTCATACAAGCAGAGGTGGCTCTTGATAAACACTTTGTAGATTACTCAATGTTTTCAACCTTGGGATACATAGGAAGCTGCAGAATAGATGGGGTAAAATTAATTGAGGTCCATTATTTCGGACGTTGGCATGGTATAAGCACCTCTGTTAGGCTCTGCTTCATGGCATTCAGTCAGGGGAGGGGCCCAGCTTACCTCGTTCTCCTGGGGTTCCCGGCACACCTGCATTTCCTGGGAAGCCTGGGGTACCTGGGGGTCCTTGTTCACCAGGAGTTCCAGGTGAGCCCGGCCGCCCAGGCTCCCCAGGAGGCCCCTGGACGGTCCGGACTGATGAGGAGTGGCTGGGAATCTGGTTGAGGATGGCTGTGTACCTGGCCATGTGACCTGAGACAGGAAGGACAAAGACAGCTTTCAATCAACTATCACACAAACAGAAGACTTGTCAAGGCTCCGAACAATTCTGTCAGAGGCCCATGCAGGGGGAAAGCACGCCCTTCTGAAATATGTCGATTTCCAAAGTAAAAAGTTGTACATTTTATTTTGGATGATATTAACAGCTGGATTGTATTCAAGTCGCATCTCATGTGTTTGGAATTCCACAGCTCATGTCAGCAGCTCAGTAAACATCATTTGAACAGAAGTCATAAATTTTATCTTCACCCCCAGCGTGTGTCTGACCCCCTAAATCCTCACCCAGCTGCCCCTTTTCTCCAGCAATTTCCCCCCCAAGTGGTCTTTTTTTTTTTTCCAGCCCACAAAGTCTGCTCCACCCTCTGTCTCACAAATCCCCAGACAAGCGCTGTTTCAACTCATCTCTTTGTTGCCAAGCGTTTTTTGCAAGAACCTTTACTTGGGTCCCAGCTGCAAAAACTCCCACTAGCTTTATTTAAAAAAACACACAAACCCTGGCTTTCTCTCCCATAGTAGCTTAACTCGGTTATGCCTGGAAGGATATAGTTTAATAAGTAGAAGTATAGATTAATAAAGTGCTTGATAATCATAATGCCTCAGGGTAGCAAGCACTTTTTCTAGCATCATGAGGAGGCAAGCTTTGCCCACATAAATGAATTTCCTAGCTAACTATTTCTTATCCCTTCTCAAACATTCAAGCTTGAGAACAGTAACCATTTTTAGAGGGATTACTGCTAAAATATATGCAAGCATTCTTCAGCAGAGGACCGTGACTGTAACTAGGATTGGCTTCCTGATGTCTGGGGGGGTGGGGGGAGGCATTAGCAGGCACGCCCATGAATGTTGGGTGTGGCCAGACATTTCTGCATCTACTTGTTCAGTTTCTTCCTTTGACAAGGGGATGTCCTCTAGCACTCCTCTAGCTGTCATCGCTTTGGCCTCACAGTGTCCCATACAACCTTCCCTAGCATAATTGTCCTGACCAGCTTTGGACAAAAACCCAGTCAACTGAGAATATGAGGATTTATATGCTTACTGATAAATCAAGTTCTGAAGGGTGAACTGAGGAGAAACCAGAAGCAGTGTGGAAAGATGGCTGAGGTGTCAGAAATACAGCCTCTGGGTAGATTGGTTGAGTCTTGGTCATACAATCTCTCCCATTTCTTTCTCGCGCCACTGCACGGACAGGCAGGGCCTCCTTGTCTCACAGCCCTATTCCAGTGTTCTTGTCTAACCCTGCTGGCTTCCATTTCCTAGAAGTTGTTCACAAGAATCTGAGAATTCCCCGGGGGGAAAACTCAATTTTAAACTCTCCTTTTTAGTGCATGTTTTAAACAACCATATATTTATACAAGACTTTTATTCTACACTGGACTGAGACAACAACTATTGTGAAATCCTCTACATACTCTGGTTAGTGAGTCATATTAGGATTTAACCCTTAGGTTTCCTTAAAATAAATATCTGCTCATTTACATTGAAAAATACTTGAAATGAGAAACCTACAAAATAACCAAGATACAGGTTAGCTTTGGATGTATTCTTTTTTGGTTAATCCTCACCCAAGGATATTTTTCCATTGATTTTTAGAGAGAGTGGGAGGGAGAGGGAGAGACAGAGAGAGAAACGTCAATGTGAGAGAGACACATAGATTGGTTGCCTTCCACACATGCCCCAACTGGGGTCAGGGATCAACCCTGCAACCAAGATACATGGCCTTGACCAAAATCGAACCAGGAACCCTTCAGTCCATGGGCCGACACCTTATCTACTGAGCCAAACCAGCTAGGGCATGAATGCATTCTGACTGTTCAATTTCCCTTTTATAATGTATTGTGTTTTTAAAGATCTTATTTTGGCATTAAACATGAACGGTTTCATTTAACTGGCAAATTCTCTCACACACATTCAGTTTGGGCAATATAATATAAAATTAATTAAAGTTAAAATATAGGGAGCATTACTACCATGCCCGAAGAGGGTAGCTTTGTACTCACTTGTCCTGAGATTTCTGTCTTAATGAAACCTCTCCCAATCATGCAGATCTTTATCCCATGCCTCCCCCAAGGGGAGATCTGGTTCTATCTGCTACATTTGGAATTTTGGACCCTGCCATTAAGACCTTCTATGCACTCATGGAACTCCCAGACTTCCCTGGGTTAAATTAAATATAACCGCAAAGCTGGTAAGGCAGCAACACAGGTGATGTCAGCCCTGGAGGTAGAGGACTCTATGGGGTGGAGGGCTTGACAACATAGGGCTAGAGCTGGCGGGGTTTGAGAGGAATATTTCATCTCTACTTGGCCTCAGATCTGCCTGGAACTGAACAAATTATTGGCAAAGAGAAGGGCCCTCCAGTTAGATTATTGAGACAAAATATAGTCAGTGGCCAGGATGGAAATGTGCAAAATGCATGAGTTAGTAAGTGAATGAGCAGAAATTAGTAATTGAAATACTGGACTGTGGAAAAGTTCGGGTTTACAGTGAAAAAAAAAATGGGACAGGTGTCATACCAAGTGTATCCCAGCATAATTTTTGGCATAAAGCACAAGTGTCGTATCAAATATCTCATGAAGATTGCCCACATGTGTGTGTGTGTTTAGGCATAAATCTTAAATAATGAAGGAGAGGACCTTGGGTTAACCAAAAGAAATGGATATGAAGGAGGCGCTTATTTAAAGCTAGTGAGTGAATAAGAATCAACACTATGAATCTTCTTTTGTGGTAAAGGCCTGGGGAGGGGGTAGGAGCAGGGTGTAGGGGGCAATAGGGGAAAAAGAGCCATCTGTAATACTTTCAACAATAAAGATAATTTTTAAAAATGTGTCATCTTTTTGAAGGTAGCTTCTGATGCCTCAGTCTGGCAGCTTACATGTGTTGAGTACTTGAGAAAAAAAATCTATCCATTCGGGGAGATGAGGAAGGAATAAAAGATCTGATCTGGGCAGTCACGTTAAATCTATCTGGGCAAGCAGGGAACTCTTGGACAAATGTCACAGAGGAATTTGGCGTCTGTACCATCAGTCTAGAAATCTGGGGTAACCTGCAATGAGCTCTTAGATGGCTTAGTGATGGACATCTGTAAAGCTTACATATCTGCACGAACCCATAGCTTTAGAGGCGTTTTCCTTCATGGTCACACTCATGGGGATGAGTAACAGGAAGCATCAGTAACTACAGGGCACTTACTCTGGATGAGCTGTTCGCACACCTGGCGTGCCACCGCTCTCACCATGGCCTGAGACTGCAGGTCACCCTGGATGAGAAGAGAAGCAGACTCCTGACTCTCAGCCACAAGCCCAGTCACATGGCAAGACTTCCAGGTAGAGACCGGACTCGACCCACTGTTCCCACCTAGGCTCTTCGGCTCCAAGCAACAGGTAGGATTGACACACACAGGGAAGGAGTAAGCAGTTCGACATTCCTGATGCTGGGTTCCTTATTAACTTAAAGAGTTCAAGTAAGCATGCCTGGTCCCAGATTCTAAAAAATTTAGTAGTTCTGAAACAAATCCATATGTATATTTAATGCCTCATTTACAGCTCTTTGGAGCTTATAAAATGCAGCACTTTCTCAAGAAGTGGCTTACTTAATACAAATAGCAACTCAGAGGGAAGGTGTTAAGCCCATTTTATAGACAAATGGGGTTAAACACATTGCCCAAGGTTACACAGAGGTAACTGGATGAGCCCAAGGTCACTGCTGTTTCGACTATAGCCAACAGCACAATTATATTAGCAGCTGCACAAATTCTCAAAGGACTGATAAGATCCCTAAAATAAGCTGATTTACGTTCTTTGATCCTATGCCTGCCATTGTCTTTCTGGGTGCCAATGTTGGAAAAACACGAGTCCCATTCTATTCCTTGGCATCTGTATAGAGCTTTTACGTTTCTGAAGCATGTTCCCATGCATTATGTAATTTCTTGATCAAATCCACTTTGTGAGTTAGATGAGTTTAAGTCTCTATTTTTCCTTAAAGAAATGGACCAAAGGTCATCTAGCTGGATGGTAGCAGATCTGCAACTAGTAACTAGCTTTCCTGACTTCCAGCCCACAAGGTGTTTCCACTTAAAAATGGGTTCGTGGTCACATGAGTTGAGGAGGGAGTGAGGGGAGAAGAAATGGTCTAAGACAGTGGTCGGCAAACTCATTAGTGAACAGAGCCAAATATCAACAGTACAACGATTGAAATGTCTTTTGAGAGCCAAATTTTTTAAACTTAAACTATATAGGTAGGTACATTGTTATTAACTTAATTAGGGTACTCCTAAGAGTTAGGAAGAGCCACACTCAAGGAGCCAAAGAGCTGCATGTGGCTTGCGAGCCGCAGTTTTCGGACCAGCAGACTCTAAGAGCAATGAATGATCCTGATAGTAAACGGTGATCCTTTGTGAGGCATGTGCAATGGAAGGTGTGCAGTTAGCTCTGATTAGTAAACAGAGTCAGACTTACTCGTTCTCCCCGCTCTCCTTTTGCTCCAGGAACACCCTGTAAAATTTTAAATTGTCAAGTTACTTGTAACACTGCACTTAGCCATGCATTAAAAACATCTTATTTTATTAAGAAATTTTCTTCGTGCCAGTAATTCTGCAGCAAAAACAGACACACAACAACAGTAATAAACAAACAGCAACCCACCAAGCAGAAATAATTCTTTTAAACATTGGAGGAATCCAGACTTTTAATGCAGAGACACGGTATGTTGTTGTTTTTTACAAAGTATTTTTTCCAATTACAGTTTCCATTCAAAATTATTCTGTATTAATTTCAGAGGTACAGCAAAGGGGCTAGAAAATCATGTACTTTATAGAGTGGTCCCTCAACCGCTGCTTCAAGTACCCACCTGGCCCCATGCATAGTTGTCATGATACTATTGACTATATTTCCTAGGCTGTAATCTATATCTCTGTGGCTATTTTGCAACTAGCAATTTGGATTGCTTAATCCTACTTCACCATTTTCAACCAGTACCTCAATCTCCTCCCCCTCTGACAGCTATCGGTCTTTTCTTTTTATCTATGAGTCTTTTTCTATCTTGTTTTTTATTTTATTTTATTCATTAGATTCCACATATAAATAATATCATATTGTATTTGTCTCTGACTAGCTTATTTCACTTACAGAATACCCTTGAAAAAGTATGCTTTTAAAAAAATTTAATAGATTTTTATTGATTTCAGAGAGGAAAGGAGAGGGGAAAAGAGAGAGAAACATCAATGATGAGAGAGAATCATTGATTGGCTGCCTCCTGCACAACCCACATTGGGGATCAAGCCTTCAACCAGGCCTGTGCCCTGACTGTGACCTCCTGGTTCATAGGTCAATGCTCAACCCCTGAGTCACCATGGCCGAGCTCGACAAAGTAAGTATGTTTCAATAAAAAACTGGGATCATGCAGCAACACTGCTTTGTAACATATAGCATTTCACTGAATAGGTCGTTCATATCTTTCCACACTAAACACCAGTCTATGAATTGTGCTCAAATGATGCTTCATAACTTATTTCACAAATCTCTGCCGAGGAGCTAAGCTGTTTCAATTTCTTAAAGAATAGCTCTGAAAGGAAGGAAAAGATCTTCTCACCTAAGAGTTCTGTGAAGTTCTGTAAGTAAGAGATGAGGTCTGTGAAATCCCACAGCCTCACTGTGCTTTTAAATATATATTTTTAATGATTTCAGAGAGGAAGGGAGAGGGAAAGGGAGAGAGAGAAACATCAATGATGAGAGAGAATCATTGATTGGCTGCCTCCTGCACACCCCCCACTGGGGATCGACCCCGCAACCCAGGCACGTGCCCTTGACTGGAATCGAACCTGGGACCCTTCAGTCCACAGGCTGACGCTCTATCCACTGAGCCAAACCGGCTAGGCCTCAGTGTGCTTTTAATAGCACACGATTCTACCACCCTGATAATGGGAGCTCCAATGAACACGCACTCTCAGCTGAATTACTATTTTGTTTTATGGTTTAGCTGCTCTTTGACCCGTAAGAAACTATCATAACTGTAAAACCTTTGACTGAAAACCAATGGCTTTTTAAAATGTTTTTGCAATGAAATTACACTTATAATGCAAAACATGTGTCTTCAGAAAGATTTCATCTTTTTGTTTCAATTCTGAGACAGTGTAATGAGAGTAATTCATTGCACAATATTTTTATAGTCTCTACCCAGAAGATAGTAGATGATGACATTTATAGATGGAATCTGCCATGCTGTCAGACTGCTCCGTTATTACCACAATCTCAACAAGTCACAAACCAAACTCAGTGTCTTCTCCAAAATCTCGATCCATTAACAGTAACCTTGCCTCAGCCCTCGCAGCCCAGGCTTCATTCAGAAGGTCATCTGGAAGGATGTCCGGTCTAATTAGCATACTACACTTTTATTATTATAGATATACACTCACTCATACACATAATAGTAGAATCATAGTGTTGGGCATATGGGTGTTCACACTAAATTTTTTCAATTTTGTGTAGGTTTGAAAATTTTCATACTAATACTTTAGAAAAAAGAGTGCAAAACATGGGATCTGCAAGCCACTTAAACTCTCTGAGTTTCTTTGTAAGATGAGGCCATTCAGTTTAATGGTCTCTGGGGTCCCTTACAGTCCTAACGTGTCAGTATCTCATAATGCAGTCATTATTTGGAATGAGGTAACACCAGGGACAGAAACTAATGAAAAATACCAAAGCTGGGCTTGCAAGATATATCTTGACCTCTTCAAAGAAAGCAGATCCTCACTACTTGTGACCCCTGCCAGCATGTAAATTCCATAAGACAGTCTGTGTAGCTGATGGACTTCGGTAACCCCAGTTCCTAGGACTATGTTTGGGACGTGTCAAGTGCTCAAAAATATGTGCTTAATGGATGAATGAATGAATGGCTAATTTTCATTTCAAATCTGGATGAAAGGCCAATCTATGCTTCATTTTAACTGCCTTGATTAAATATTTAAGACATATTAAGGTACTGGACATTCTAGATTATTAGAAAAAGCGCTGATTCTGTTCAAAAGTATCCAATTTTCATTATTAAAACTTTTTGCAAAAGGAAGGTATATGAGGCACCCCTCCTCACCCCCATTCTTTTGGGAAATAAATGTACTGACTGTGTCCTCTTCTCCCATACCTTAGGCTCTACAAATGGGCACGTCTCTAAAGAGGCAGTAGGTTTAAGTGGAGAAAAGAGCTACTTGTGTCACCACAAGTAAATTTTTAATGGAACCAGCTTTTCAAGCATTATGTGAAACACTAAAACATATATTAGCAAACAAAAATAAGTAAGTATCCCACATTTTTAGTATATTAAAAAACCGTAAATGCTAGTTGTTAATATTTAAGCTGCTTTACCAGGTCCCAAGCACCGTTCTCCGTGTATTATTTAACCTTCATAACAGTCCTATAAAATTAATTCATTTAATCCTTATAAGACACCTCTAAGAAAAACTCATTTGTTCTTTATAACAGCCCTACGACATATTATTTCCATTGTACATATAAGGAAAGTGATGCATCAAGGTGTTAAATAACTTGCCCAAGGCCACGCAACAATACAATGGAAAAGCTGGGACCAGAACCCAGTCAGCCCGGCTCCTAAATCCATGCACTCTCCAGCACACTGCCTTGAAAGAGAATGCCCAACAAATTTGTTAGCCAATATTTCCTATTTCAGTGAAGATCATATTTTTCCTAATGAAATAATAACTTAAAAATCAACCATCCATCCCCCCAACCTAACTCTAGTCATTCAGAATTAGATTTTAGCTCGAATTATTTTAGCTTGAGTGTTTTTTTTTCTTTACCAATACACTACTGGACATTTCCATGGCTAGCTATCATTGGTTAAATGGACTAGGTAGAAACTCAGAAACAGAAATTACAGTGCAAACCTAAATGATAAGGTAAATGAGGCCTTTGGAATGGATGTGTTTAATAGGGTCTGAAATTCCTCAAACTCAGCCTCACTATGCTTGATATGAAATAGCTACAGGACACAGCCAGGCAGTCTCAGTGGAAGGTCCATTTAGGGAAATATCTATACGGCAAGAAGTTAGTTTTATTCCAACTTCTCTGACATCTTTCCTTTGATTTTTGCAAAATAAAACAAAATAAAAATTCCTGAGCAAGTGAAGGCCCATAATTCCACCAAAGTATGCTTTGAAGGAAAACACATCTTCCCTGCAGACATAGGCCAGAAAAAGTGGCACATTTCTCTTTCGTTTCAGGAACATTTGAAATATAAAGAAAAGAAAAATACAGTAGCTACATTCATAGATTCACAGAATTTTAGTGCTGAAGGGAAGAGGAATAATTTCATGGTCCAAGTCCCACATATTAAAGATGTCTGTTCACTAAAATCTAAACATCCTCGCTCAGCTCTCAAGGTTCTTCCAAGGACTGGCCCCCAATCTGTAAGAATCATCTTCTAAAATGCCCTTGAACAGCAGCCTAACTGGAACGCAAACATTCCTTCATTCTTTCTTCTAACAAATACTTATTAAGTACCCTCTCTGATGTGAGCTGGAGTATAGCAATAAAAACATGAGTGTGATAACATTTCTGCACTCAAAGACCTATCGTGTTAGTGGAGGGATGAACACTGACAAAGTATTTCGGCCTGAAGAGGTGATGGTGGTCTCACACAGGAAGTGCAGTTTTAAGGAAAGAATAGCCAGGAGAAATGAGAAAAAAACAGCCCAGACAAATGCAAGAGCATCCCAAGGGCCCACTGCAAAAAAAAAAAAAAAAAGATAAAACAGTATGACATATATTTGGAGAACTTTAAATAATTAGGGATGACAACTTCAAGCAAAGGGATGATGGGAGATACAGTTGAAGGGGAAAGAGAGGGCCATGCACATCTGGCTACATCATTGGGGTCTATCCTCTAGGCACAGGCTTCCAGGGAGGATATTCAAGCCAGGGAATAACACATTAGTGTTGTTCTAGACCTGTGGTTGGCAAACTGCGGCTCGAGAGCCACATGCGGCTCTTTGGCCCCTTGAGCGTGGCTCTTCCACAAAATACCACGTTCGGGCACAGGTACAGTGCGATTGAAACTTTGTGGCCCATGCGCAGAAGTAGGTATTTTGTGGAAGAGCCAAACTCAAGGGGCCAAAGAGCCGCATGTGGCTCACGAGCCACAGTTTGCCGACCACTGTTCTAGACAGATCTTCTGGCAGCTGTGAATGGATTAGACCAGAGCTAGAGCTTCTTGTGATAATCTTGGTGAGAAATAAGGATGACTTGAAATAAAATTTGCAAAGAAGCAAGAGAAAGAGTTGAAAAATACTGAAATGGATCAAAGACAGGGGGATGCCCTGTGCCTGCTTTCTGTTTTCCTACAATCCTCACCTAGACGATGCCATCTTCCTGTCTCTATGTGCCAGTCACATGTGTTACAAGATCCCATTGAAATGCTGCCTCCATCATTAGCAGCTCCTCACCTCTCAGCTCAGAGGGGTGTCCCCTCCATCTCTCTGTCTTTGTCCTCCGCTCTCTCTCAATGCAACTTTCATAGCAACATTCTTGTCTTTTAAGGTATTTATGACTTTCTGGCTTTTATTTATATGTACTTATACAATAAAGACAAAAAACCAAAACACCATTCTCTCTAGATTGTCCATGAATGTGGAAAAATACTTTGGTTACCGTTTGTAACCCTCAGAACTCATCTCTCTCATGTGCCTACACATTGTGGCTGCTCAGTAAATATTTTTAAATGGATGCATCAGGAAACTGAGGTTCTGAGAGGCTAGATAAAGTGCTTAGTGGCTCACACAGCTAGTCAAAGTCATATCAGGAACACGTCTAGAAAGAACCCAGGTGTCCTGACTGGGTTCTTTAAATGGCGTAGCGCTGGACCTCCTACCTATGCTGATTTCAAGATAAACACATGGCCCCTTCTCCCATGTCCTTATCACCATTTAGCCTGTGCCTAAGCCTCAGGTAGGAGTTGCCATCACAGCTTCAACGCAAGCCTGCCTGGGGAATTCAGCGGCTGAAGACAGAGCTCCCACAAGCGAGTGTTCCTGGCACCGGCTGGAGGAAATGTTGCTATTTTCAGTGGGGCAGTCTGTCTTTCTTGGTCTCTTT